GGGGCGCGGGCTAATTTTACACTCCTATCAATGTGAATGTTAACATGTTAATGTGAATATTCACATTGTCAACGGGCCGGGCCGGGCCCTGGCCCGGGCTTCGGGCTGCCCACGGGTCATGGGCCAATTTTACACTCTTGTCAATGTTAATGTTAATGTTAATATGTTAATGTGAATATTCATATTGTGAACGGGTCGGCCCGGGCCCGCCCCGGGCGACGGGCTGGTTTCGGGCCGCAGGCCAATTTTATACTCCTATCAATGTGAATGTTAACTTGTCAATGTGAATATTCATATTATCAACGGGCCAGGTCGGCCCTAATTTTTTAGCTTGTGGGCCGGCCCGGCCCGGCCTGGCTCGAATTTTTTCCGGCACCCACGAGGATTGACATGAGCCGGGCCCCTACACATTGACGATATAAACATTTATATTGACGGTGTGAATATTCACATTAAGGGTATTTTGGTAATTATGTCACCCATAAGACTTATTGAAACATAATAAAATAATGTGAAGTAAATGGAACATAAGTAGATGAAAAGGGTATTTTGGTCTTCTTATCTCAAATTGGACCTAATGGAATAGTCAAAAAGAATATGGGTTGGATGGAATAAAGTTCTTAGAAAATGAATTTATCAAAAAGCTCCCTTACTTTTTGTGATTCTAGAAATTATATTATGCCTTTTAAGGTTTTTAATTTCATAATAAATGAGTCCTTTTGTTAATAAATTATCAAGTTAATTAACAGTTTTTAATAATGTTAAGATTTTATTTTAATTAATAATTCAGATAATTTTATTATTGTATAGGTGAACAGTTAGAAATTTCACCTTTTCAATTAATTTTGTTAAATAAAAAATTCTGATTGGAAGGTATTTGTAATTTTTCAAACTACATAGGTAATTCGTATTTTAAGTAAATCTCACGAGTGTATTTGTAATTTACGCAAAAAATAAAATAAAAAATATTAAAAAGACACTATAAATTATCAAATTGTTTTTTACATTTTTACAAATATATATATATATATATATTTCCCGTTTTGAAAAGCTAAAAAAAAAATTAAATTGTCAATTTCTAAACCAACCCATTGATTTGATACAAGTCTCTCTTCCTACATGTGTTAGTACGTAACCCCACATGCCATGCCATATGA